ATCAAGCAATCCAAGCGTTTTGGTCAGAAAAGCTATTTTCTCTTAAAAAGCTGGAGTTAATACTGAAATAATTCATGTGGAATGTAAATTAATTAGTCCCTGCGTGTTAACTGCTTCAAGAAGCACTAGATGAAATCAAGTGACCTAGATTCAAATGAATGGAACAAAGGTTGCTTGTGAGTTATTGTGAAGATAAAAGCATACAGCAATGATTAATTTACGCTGTACAAGGTAATCGAGCTTATTACAAGTAATAGAATGCAATAGCACATGAGGAACTCTTTGGAAAAAGAAAACATGTTATAGATTTTCTGTCCAAAAGTAGATGATGACATGTTCAAAAAATGTGAGGCAGTCTCGTATGAGATCATGCATATATACTGCTGAAGTGTCTCGAACCAGGGTAATATATATATATATATATATATATATATATATATATCATTTTCCTTTGTTTCTAACAATTTTTTGTATTTAAAATTTAAAATTCGAGTAGTAGAAAACAATGACTTTGTTTTAAAACTAAAAACACACTAAGTGATGACAGTAGAAATACAGCAAAAATATTTTTGCTTCCTATCAAGTTCACACTTAACGGTTTAAAAAACTTGAGAGCTGGGTAAATGACACTTATTATTATAAAGAGTTTTGTATTTCCCACTGAATGCAAAACAAAACAACATTGTTTTCACTGACGTTTTGCTGTTTAATGCTAACAGCTTTATTAGAGTATTATTAAACCAGAATTCGCAAAATCTCAGTTTATATGTACAAACCCAATCCTCATTCTTCAGCAGGGGATAATTTTCACGTTGTCAAGTTGGTCAGTTGTTAAAGATAACAAAACGACATACAACGTCTCCAAATACCTATTTTCAATACTTCAACCACTGCAAAAGGACACTCAACATATTGTAAGAAATTCATATGATTTCGAATCCCAAATAGAACACCGAGAAATTGAAAAAGAAGACATTATACACTAGTATCCCTATTACCGAAGGTCTTGATATCATTTCCAGTTTACTAGAATCAGATACAGCACTATCACAAAGATGTCCACTGAACACAAGTGAAATAATTAAGAGCTTAAAATTCTGTCTAGAAAGTAATTATTTTACATTTAAAGGGAGTTTATATAGACAGACAAATGGTGTTGCCATGGGTTCACTAGTCTCCCCAATAGTCGCCGACCTTTACATGAATAAATTCGAAATTAACATCTTTTCAAGCATACTCATTCCTAAAACATCGTTAAGATATGTGGATGATACTTTTGTAGTACTAAAACGAGATCTACACAATTCATTCCTGGAGAAGATAAACTGTGTATCTCCCAAAATCCAGTTCACTTCGCAAGCAGAATCAGACATCTCTGAACTTCCATTTCTAGACTTCCTAGTTAAGAGAAAGGGAAACGAACATTTTAGTATATCCATATTCAGGAAGAAAACCCACTCCAATAAATATTTAGACTTCAAATCATCACACCCCATCAGCGCAAAGATTTCAGTTGTTTCAAGTCTTCTGAGACTAGCACACTTTGATAACGGACGATTAAGAAAAAGAAGGAGAAATATCAAACATTACTGAGACTCTCAAGCAAAATAGCTACTCAAAGAACTTCATCAACGAAATCAACACTGGTCGAAAACGTATTCCGAAAACATGGGCCTCAACACTTGTCATTTCATATAGAGCGAAGACGTCAGACAATATCAGAAGAGTACTCAATAAAGTCGAAACCAGAGTTTTCTTTAAGACATGAAACACATTACGAAACAACCTTGTCCAAATAAAAGAACAAACCCCCAAAGATTCTCATTCTAATTATGTCTATAAAATAAAATGCTTGGAATGTGATGCGATATACGTCGGACAAACGCCGCGAAAAATCAAAGTAATCAGAAGAAATGAACAACGTAGAGCATCTGCTCAGCCACCGGGAAATCCAGTTGAACTAGAAAAGCTTGAAAAGTCATCAGCCATAGGTCATCTACACGCTACGCTATAGAATCAGATCACAAAATTGATTTTGACAATATTGAGATGAGGATCTAATTGAAAAGTAAATATTTCTTCGCTCAATCTTTCTGTTTTCTAAATGTCTAAATGGGGATTTTTTCTTTATTGAAATATTGAAATAATCCAGAAAAATTTCAGAAATCACAAAGAACGTCTCATATCAGAAGCACTCCAATATCAAGTGGAATCCAAATTGCCTGAATAGGAATGATGGACCAAAACAAAATCTGACCTGGTTACAACACCGCCCTCCTCCATGAAATGACATAATCAACACGAATGTCATACAAGTTCACTATGTAAACAAATACTACTTTTATAATTTTATACACTTATCAAATCCAACAATTAACACCTGGTTTTGTTATCTTTACCGATTGGCCAACTTGACAACGCAAAAATGACCCCATGCTGAGGAACGATGATTAGGTTGTTACATATAAGCTGAGATTTTGTAAAGTCTGGTTTAATAATACCTTGATAAAACTATTAGCAGCATTAAATAGCGAAACGTCAGTAAAAACAGTATCGTTTCGTTTTTCATTCATTGGGAAAAAAACCTTTACTACAATGAAAACTATGTGTAGATTGTTGAATTTGATAAGTGTATGAAATTATAAAAACAGCTTGTGTTTACATAGTGAAACCGCTTATCACACGGGTGTTGATTTGTCACATGGTGAGTGGGAAGGTTGGGGTGTCGCAGCCAGGTCAGTTTCTGTCTTAACAAACCATCCCTATTCAAACAAATCTTATCCCATTTAAATAAAGTGTTTCTGATATTCGACGTTCTTTGTAATTTCTAACATTTTTCTGGATGATTAAAATATTGTCAAAATCAATTTTTTGGCCTGATTCTATGGCGTGTATACCTATAACCGACGACTACACCTAATTTTGTATGTAACTAACGAAAACCCATCAAAACGAACTGTTATCTTTTTCATCAAATGCTAATACAACTGAACTGTCTTTTCAATATTGATCTTTTTTACTAATAATGTTGGACTCATAAATTATATTGAAACTGACAAAATAAAGAAAGGAAATTTGATATCACTATAAGTTGGTCTAGTAGAAACATCATCCTTTTAATGGCTGTTTCATGTTGAATATTGTTTAAATTCTATCTGGCGTAACCACTGAATTGTTTTTCGTGTGTAGTTGTGCTTATACGAACGCGTAGAAAGTAAATTACGCAACTTTCGAATTATAAATCAGTGTCCAAATAGTGGTTTATATTACTCATACATGTCATAAAGAAGTGTATATATATATACATGAGTAATACTTTGAATACTGTTTTCTGTTTACCCTCTAAAATAGCCTTTCATTTAAACGAGAAATAATTTATTCGTGTGATAATACAAACATCTTTTTCTGAGGCCTACACATTTTTATTAACGATTTATTTTTAGCGCCGGCTAGTATGAAGACATTCAAAGGAATGTGGGTAGAAAATCTTATCAAGCTATTGACAGATACCTAGATGTTCAGAAAATGCCCACTGCTCATATCAGATGTAAGCCGACATACACCGTATAACGCCTTTAATCCTTGAAAAGTGTCTACACTATGAGACATATTCCAAGTCGTAGTTTAAAATCTTGAGAAAGTTAGGAATACCAGAAATCACTAGATGATTTTGAAAGCCAGCCTAGTGAATCAGATAACAACTGCATTAGGAAAACTTAGGAAAACACAAGCTGTGCATCGTAACCCTGAGAAGCAATGGTCGTACACCTGCTAAAGGACCTGAAGTTCCTGTGTCAGAAGACAAATGAAAAAAAAAGATAAACTAGGATGGAACAGTCATTTAGTATTACCAAGTTTCTAATTATTTTCGGAAGTAATATCCCTCTATGATGAACAGTATCTGAACAAATGAAGTTTTTACTGGCTTTTTTCCTTTGGCATTGATTAAGTGTAAAACAACTTTGGTTAATTTTGACCAAAAAGGCACTATAATTCAACGTTGTAATCTGCAAGCTAAGATTAACTGAGAAATAATAGAGCAAAAGATACGACTGAATCAATCAATATTTATCACTTGAGCAAAAATTGAATTAGAATAGTCTATAGGCCAGTTTAAACCGCCTTGAGAATTGTTTATTGCTGTCTAGTTTTGATGAAATCAGAATTGAACGCATTAAGTTGATTGCAGGCTAATTAACCTAACGATAAATAGCATCCAATGCATGTAGAACTTGTTTGAATCGGCGGCGGTTAAGGGCCTGCATTCAGTGAAAACACCAAGTAGGAAAATCTCACGTCACCAGCATTGATTATCGAGCATCACTGCTTTTCAATGGTAAAAATAAACTAATGTATAAGAAATTCAGGTACACTGCATAAGACCTAACTGAAGAATCTTCTTCTCACTAGTATAACTGTCGATTAGACAACTGCAGGTAATATTTGTTTAGTGGATAAACCTACTTATCACAGAGGCGATGATTCAAACTGGGAGAAAAGATGTGACTGTTGTTGGTTCACTAATCTCATGAAAATAGAAACTTCATTAAGCTGGACAATGATCCGGTTTCAATATGATGTAATGTCGGTGGCACAGTGGTTAGGACTGTCGCCTACCATGCACATGGTCCGAGGTTCAATCCCCTGCCAACGCACACCTGATATCTATTGTCGGCCTGCAAAAATTTGGGCCGCCGATATCACATGCTGAAAATTCCATACTCGCATCAAAAATACGGTGTGGAATGAAGCTGTAATAAAAAAAAAATAATAATAATAATCAACTGCTAACTTCTAGTTTCTACACAAATATTAAATCTAGCAATGTGGACCTGTATGACTTGTTTTAAACAGAAATATTGGTTCACTATTCAGCAGCTGTTTAATTTAAGCACCATCTAAGTGAAAAATTTATCATGCCTAGTATCTACGAAGTAACAAAAGTTTTTTCATGTATTTAAAAGCTTAAAATAAGAGTAGCTAGAGAACGACCTACTTACTTTTGCAAACGTTTGCTTCCTGTGGTGTAGCTCTGTCCCATGGTCGATCCATATAGCCAGCTTTGCAATATTCACAATCTTCTCCTGATGTATGATGTTCGCAAGCACATACCAGTTTTCCATTAGAGCCCAAAATACATTCACTGGCATGCCCGTTGCATTTGCAACGTCCACCGATAGCTATATCAGCGAATGCATAAAACTCATTTTCAGATAAGGTATCTGGTTGATCAGTGAAATTACTTGTTGTTTTTGAGGTGACTGGCAAATAATTCCGATCAAGTAATTCTTCTGTTTTGTTATTCTCCGTTGGTGGTAGCTCAGTATTTGTTTGACCATCTCTTGAACTGCGAGTTCGTTTGATTTGATTCAGATGAAATACTGGTCTGTGTAAATTTCTAGGATAGTGATTTCGATGTGCATTTCTTTTGACACGATAATCTGCTTCGTTAAATTGATGAAAACTCATTAAACTGATGCGCACATCGGTCATAGTCATCCAGTCAATTAGTGCTGGACTCCATGGACGTGTTGCAGGTCGACCAAGTGTGGTACTGAATGCAATCACCCAGTCTGCTGGCACTCCTATACTTTCAAAACTATTCGTAATATTTGGTTTATTAAAAACATAGTTAGTCATTGAACGTACTCTTCTACCTTGTCGGCTGTAGTAAGTCTCACGTGGTTGTAATGCGACACATAATACTTCCTGTAAATTAGCCGACGTGATATGACTGTTATGTTCATTTGAAGTAGGCAAACCAAAAGCACGAAAACAGTCTGTTGAAAAATAATGCCATGGACGCCATGTACGACCGAAGTCAGAAGACTTATATATTGCAATTGAATGTGGTAAACTGCCTATGCTGCATGGTTGCAAAGATATATAGTATACTTCAAAACGTTTTCCCAAAGATATTGTGAGGTTGACTGTTTCACCGGGTTGAATATAACCTGAAGCCCAACACGTTTGATTATCAATGCTATGACGATCAGTTAAATGGTCTGATGAAAACTTCAGCTGAGTTGAATTAGCATCACATATTTGACAGCTTGCAATAGTTCGACATAAACGTTGTGGTCTTTGTTCACCACATGTGGAAGTAGCATGAACACTTACTCCACGTGAGATATCTTTGAAGGGTGGAGCACACTGAAATGATTGTGAACCAGATCGACAGGATGAACTGTGTGAATTTATATCAAGTAAGAAATTTCTCTTTAATCGTTCAGAATTATAATTATTTTGTTTTACTGGTCGATGACGGATGGTATTTTGTTTTGTCAATGTTTTCTTGCCAAATTGTGGTAAGCGGTTATCGAAATTTCGATTAAATTCATAGCGTTCTTCACTTAAAACACTATTTATTGAATATATAAATTCAATGATAAATAGCAACTGGAATAGTGATCTCATTGTTGAACATTTAATTCAGACTAAAGTGAATTACATTAGATTTAAATGTGTCTTATATGTTTGTGGGTATAGTGTTTGAAGTAGTTATGTTACTTTACTATCACAATGTATACTCCAGGTTTAACTTCAGCATTCTACTGAGGTGTTAGAGAAAGTAATACCAAAAAATACGGTTCCGTGACAGTGAATTGTAGAATTAAACTAATTTTTGGTTGAGAAATTCTTTTATTTGTTTTGTCTATCACCTGCCAGTTTTGTTAATGTTTGTTGTATGTTCTACATTTTTCAAACCATCACACGAACACCAAGTCACACACAAGCTTACATCTATTTTTTTTTCTCTGAAGCAAATTGCATTTCGAATGTTGTCTACAATATGTCTATCCTACTACCATAGAGGTGTGTGTACGTATATATTAGTTTATACGTGTGAACTTCAATCTCTGCCAATGATATGTTGACCACGGGTGTGTGAATATAAATATGGAAACCTGTGAGAATGATAAATCTGTGTAGGATGAAGTATGAAAATAATGCAGTAAAATGACAAATCATTTTTATTGTGACATAACCCAAATATTTACTAGTTGAATGTAATTAATCTTCCAGATAGTTGTTTGATTGGAGGAAAAAAATGTCTGCTAAAATATTTATTTTTGACCTAGAGGATGATGACCTCAGGTTGAAATTTTACAAATTGCTTATTGATGTCTTCTTTTATATTCAACCCAACGGTATATCCATTAGGCTGAATTTCACCTTTATATTTGACCGAACAAATAAGATGTTCCCACCCCCTACTAAGAGTAAAAATAAATATAGGAGCTGTCCGTAACGTGTTTATTGTTTGCTAGTTGAGGTAGACAGGAGTGAATGTTACTAAATAAGTATTTTCTAAAGAATTCACATGAAATGCTCATTCATTATGCTAACAGGCTTAGAACTAACTCTCCACCATTTTTGTGTATTCAGTGAAATGTTCAGAGCATTATTTATTGTAATAAATATTTCCATCAAGCCTTCTTCAGACACCAACATCATCCAGAGAACAATTAACGTAAAATATTGACACCGTTCAGTTTTTCTATATTCTTTCAGATGAGCGAATATCACTCGGTAGTTGAGTTTATAGTATTCGTCTAATGTAATTTCTCGTGAAATATGTTCACTATTCATGGTAAAATGAAAATAATGACCAGTACTAGCGTTTTAGCTCAATATTAATGCCTTGTGTTGCAAGATTGGAACTGGTGGGCTGCATAAATCTTGGGCTCTTATTCAGGTTGTTTAATTCTAGCAAACTATGACCCCCAATGGTATCTACTCTCGCGTATGTTTAGAACATTCACAACTTGAGGTTTCGCAATTTTCTACTAAACATGAGAAGAAGCATTATCATCAATGGCAGCGTATCTCAGTACAAGAGATAACCATTCATGAGTGGTATCCTTGGTTCACAAAATGTACTCCTGAACTTCTTATGATTACCACTCAGCAAAGTGTAGTGTATTTCTCAAAGGAGAAAAAGAAGAGATATCATAGTGGTGGACTGGTTTCCGCTTCAGGTCAGACAGAACTGTGTCACACGATCTGCTGTCAGTCAGTCATTCACTTGAAGATCCCTGACGAAGAGGAAGTATCACGCAATAAACTCCGCCGAAAATTCTGTACATTATATAAACATTATTCAGAATAAAGCTATTAATGTTATCATTATATGATTCCAAGTTTTATATAAAATAACCTGCGACTAAACCACGTACTCCAAAATCTGGCAAGTCAACTTAGTGATAAATAACACTTAATTTGTAGCCTGAGTGTTGACCTCAAGGCATTAATTATTCATTATCACTTGATTATATATGCCCAAACCAAGTTCTTTTTAACAGTTTGAAGAAATTTGGGCATTGGGTATATGACATTCATTGTAATAAAGGTTTTTTGTATTTCCCAGTGAATGGAAAACATTGAGAAATACAAACAACCCTTATTAGAATGATTATCACTTGGTCTTAAAACACAATTAAGGTGAAATCAGTTCAAGCCGAGTGGTTATTTTTGCCAGCATAATAACTGCCGCATGTGGTTTTGCTTTAAAACTGGTAGATCGTGTAAAACAAAACGATTATTCAGTCGAATTATGTGCAGCTTTAATAGTAGTAATGTCACAAAATACCCTCTAATTTTCTACTTTTTCTCCTACATTTTCAAAGGCCATTTCATAAATCATTGGACTTGTTATGTTTATCTCTATCATCACACATGATAACTCAGTGGAAACGTATTCGTACTATTTAGTCCAGCTCCGATATACACCAAGTGACTACCTTTTTTGTATCATTGAATTGTGGTTTAGACGTATTTATTGTCTGTAATGAGATTTTAATTATATGTGTTTGGTAAATAATAAGGATAAAATCCTTGAGGAGTGTATCATTCTATTTCAGATTCACCGACTGCATGCAATTTTCTTTACAATACTTCACATACTGTTCATAAACTTGTGAAGGCAACTTCGAATATTAGGCAAAACCGAAACGGTGAATCAGTAGAATAAAACTACTTAAGTACTGCTCATAATTATCCAGTATTATTTACAGAACGAAGTGTCAAGAGAATAATCAACTAGTCACCACATAAGCTCTAGGTATCGCTTACACGTACTGCCTATGTTAAATCCTTTGATTTTAACTGCACCAAATTATTCTGTATATCAGGAATTTCTACCCATTAATTCATTAGAAAAAACAGTTCTTGTTCAGCGAAAAAATATTTCTTTTCAACGACTTCATTTTCAAGCTCTACAGTTTTATTTATATTACGAAAAAAGACATTAAGTGGAGCTAGAAATTGACCACTCACTATACACACGATAAGAATAAAGATAATTAAGGTGATGTAATAAGGAGATTGAAGTAGAGTTGAAGTGGATGAATTATAAAACTCTTAAAGATTATTCAGTGAGTGAATTGGTATAAAGATTTTAAAAACTGTAGGTCAAGTGTTGTCTGAAACAATTAAGAGTACGATGATGATAATAATAAAAATGGTGATGAAGTGGAATGTATTCAGGTGGTAAAATAGAGAAAAATTTTAAAAAAACATTACTACCACTAAGGTAAAGAAGGAGGTTTAGGTTTCTGTCCATGCATAGTTAGAGCTACGGCTGTGCATAAGTGGAGAGAACGTAAGCTTTTGTAGTGGTTGGATTTGGTTCTGTAAAAAACTTTAAAGGATAAATCACGTGGGACTGAATGACATGACTTCAGAAGGTGCATAAAAAGAACGTTTAATACATTCAGATATAAGACTTTTAATTACTTCAGCAATAGTGCCACTTTTGAAAGCCAAACTCGTAAAGGGAGTCTTCTTCTTTGGCACTGTGATTCGGTTGTTTTGCAGCTTTTCAATATCTCAGTTCCTATCTCATCGGATCTTTTCTTTATCAAGTCTAACATATAGTCCACGTTTGATCTCTGTTAGTTAAAATGAGAAATTCAGGCGTTGGGATGTGTTATTGTCGAGTTTTCGAAGACATGTTTGTATGGCGATGATCAAATTCAGAGTTCGACCATTAGGATAAACGTGATTATGGCATAATATTTTTCAATAAAATTGTGTATATTCACCATTTCTAATGTAGCTTTTCAGAGTATCTGTATTAGCATTCGCTTATACAATCTTGACAGAATATCACTGAAGCTCACACTTGACCTACAGTTTTTAAAATCTTTATACCAATTCACTCACTGAATAATCTTTAAGAGTTTTATAATTCATCCACTTCAACTCTACTTCAATCTCCTTATTACATCACCTTAATTATCTTTATTCTTATCGTGTGTATAGTGAGTGGTCAATTTCTAGCTCCACTTAATGTCTTTTTTCGTAATATAAATAAAACTGTAGAGCTTGAAAATGAATTCGTTGAAGTGACATCTGGGATTAGTACGACTGTTAATATTGGGAGCTAATGCGACGACAAGAGTTTCAGTTATCAATTGCCTTATTTATTTATCTTATCCTGTTTTTTCCTCATTATGCTCGACTGTGAGTATATTTTCATTCAGATCAATGATCTGGGATTGAGGTGAACTCTTTGTTAGGCAGGTTCCAGTCACTATTTCAGGTTAATACTTATGGTTTTCTCATAAGCTGTGGAAGATTTCTGGGTGAATTCCAAGAGAAAGTTATGCACTTGTTATCTTTCTTAGACAGCTTTCTGGTGAAGAAAGTGAAGTTAAGTACTATAAGAATGTCCAGATTCTACTTTCATTTTAAAAAACCCATTTGATTTTTGAAATAATGACTAAGAAAACGTAGATACACGTTTACGAGTGATCTGATATTCTAAATGTTTCGGGGGAATAGACTGATGACATTTGGAACTGTCCTAGAAAACTTCAGGGTTAATCACTTTATAACAAATATTTGCAGAAAATAGTCAGAGCACTCACTAATGACATGACACTGACTTCTAGTGATCCCTCTCAAGCTGAAGTTAGTTGTTTATACTAACGACATTGGTCGACGACGACATAGGCCGATAAGACATCTGAGGTTTATCTACCTAGTTTTATCGCCTATATAGTTTATTTCATAGGCGCATGGAGAATGCGAGGTTATTTGCAAGAACATCTTCCAATGCGGCTATCCAAGGGAGTAAATAATCGAAGCGATAGTTCATTTCTTGATCACCATGTTCCTCTGCATCATTCCGCATTAACAGGGAAATCTTTCAAAGTGGTACATAAAGTGTGACCGAGTCGTGTGAATGGGTCCCGGTCACATCTTGCTATAAAAAAGCTGTTAAACAAATCCCTTTTACTGCTGTGATCGTGAGAACTTTTTAATTTTTAAGATAACTTGGTGAGTAACTTGTCTGTTTTCTTTCCACACTCCTTAATTTAAAATATTCTTCATACATATTATGATTCTCTTACTTACACTCATGAATAGCATTTCTGTTTCCAAAAGTTTACAATTTTAATCATAATCATTTCTGAACGATATTCATCCTATAATGTTTTACACTGTGTAATATTACTCAACTAAGCCCCCTGATGTAGTCATTATCTTCCCTGGGATGTAATTTCTTATATCTTGCTGCCAAATGATATTAACAACTGACCTTTACAGCTGCTTCCGTGACCTTTCAGAACCTTATAGTCCATAAAACATTGGTAACCGTGTCACTCATTACTGATCAGCTTAATTAAAAGCAGAATTTAACCTCTGGCAATTTTTTCACTGAGAATGATTATTTCCTCTTAACACTATGGTGGTAAACCATTTCAGGCCACCTCTTCCCTCATCCACTCACTGTCCGTTCTTAATTAGCAATACGTTATTTGCCTAAATTTTGGAATATGCAACTATTTTAGTCTTTTTTAATCAGTAATAATCTTGCAGTTTTGTTGAGTTTGCCTGTCAATCTTATATATAT